ACTTACAGATATGATTCCTTTCCTCACCACACTTACAGCCTATAGACAAGAGAACAGTGATTCTAATAGAAAATGGCAAATTTTCTGAAAGAAACATTTGATATTATAGTAGTGTCAGACTTAAGGGGTTAGAGAAGGCTTGCTGAGGAGAAGTAATATCAAAATTTAGACCAGCAGGAAGCTAGAAATTAGCTTGGTAAATTAGTACGTGGAAAGCAGGACTGAGGAATTTGAGCTTCTTGCTTGAGGGCAATACAGTCATTTAAGTTGATTAAATTGATCGATTAATTGATTGCAACATTTTAGGCTGAGCACACCGAAAAAGTATTGAGGAGGAGAGGCTGGTAGATAAGTTGAAGACTTTTACAGGCTTCAGATAACAATTAGATGGTGTCCTGAACCAGAGCATAGAACAGGGGCAGGAGGGGAGAAGTCAAGGTTGATACAGTGGTCCCCAACCTTTTTTGCACCAGGGACCGGTTTCATGGAAGACAGTTTTTCCACGAGGGGCGGGGTGAGCTCAGGCAGTGATTTGAGCAATGGGGAGCAGCTGTAAATACAGATGAAGCTTTGCTCGTGGGAGGGCGGGGGGCTGCGGCCTGGGGTTTGGGGACCACAGATCTAGAAGACAAAGTCAGGAAGCCTGGGTGAAGTGTGATACAAGGATTCAGGGGCGGTGCCCAGGTTTGTGTTTTGAATAATGAGTTAGATGTTAGGTACCACTCACCACAGGAAGGAACACAGGAGGAGGAGCAGGTCTGCAGGAAGACATAAGATAACTTATATACCGTGGAGTTTCAGGGGCCTATGGAATATCCATCCACAGGGAAGCAGGGAGATGAATGAGTCTAGAGCTCAAGGAAGGATGTGTCTAGAAAATTAGAAAAATGAGAGTCACCAGCATATTGTATGCAGATTGTCTTTTAGGAGGTAAGAGCGAATGAGGAGATTGGGGTGAGGGAGAAGAGAGGCAAATACAGAATGTTGGGGAGATAACTTCACTAGCTGCTTTCAGTATCCTTTTCAGGAAGAAAACTCCAGGTATGAATTGTCACTGTTCTTGTTTCCATAATCTACCAAAGGACATATTTGTTGGATGAATTTTCACAAAATTGCATTAGAATTCTGCATATTCAGAAATGAATATGAAAATGTAAATACATTGTTCACCTAGACAGCCTTTCCTGGAGCCACATAGACATTACTCTTTCAACTTGGATTCGAGTGCCTTTTACTTTGTCCTGGCATAATCTGTGCATGCTCTAATGTCTTCTGTTAACCTACTTCTCAGCTCAGCAGCAGACGCAGCCAGCAAGGCGGATCTCCTTCTCCGTCAGCATCTCTCCGCTCCTCCTTAAGTCTAAAACTCTCTTTTCTCTTGGCTCTTCTTATTCCAGTGATGAGGAGGAGGAGTTGCATAGTAAGTAAGCAACTTTGGTGTCCAGTGACTGTTCTTCAAGGTCTGACCAGCTCAGAAAATGCTGCAGGCTTGGTACTAAGAAATTGTTTGGGGACTTTTCTCCCTTTGCATGCCATCTTTTATACATCATTTGTCTTTATGCTTGGCTGTGAAATGCTTTGGATAGAACAATTTCTGTCTTCTGTACACTACTAACACTGATTGATCCAGTGGCCTCCTGATTCCAGAGCACAAGGTGTCTTTCCAGAACACAGATACCCTCAAAGGCATACGGGATGTGTTCCCATCCTAATTTGTACTCTTTGTAACATTGCGTACTAATTTCACAAAACTCTTCATTTGACAATGTAGATTTTATTTTCCTTGTTTCATTTTTCTGTCTCATGGGACAGATATCTAGATATCCATTTGTGGTATTTGAAAGCTATTGTTATACTTTTTTCCCCTCCTTTTTAGACCATTTCTTTAAAAATGCCTTTCCTTTAAGATTAAACCATATGGATTAGAAGGTAGGAGTTATATATTTGTTTCTCTCCTACTGTCTCTCCTTTTGAACTTTTATTTTTCAGTTTTTTGGGTAAGCTATAGGTCCCAGATGAATACATGAATGAATTCTTACTTGATAATACCTAGTTTAAAAACTTTACGAGGTATCAGTTTTGGTAAACTCGGAAAGGAAATGAATTTCCCCTTTATGAAAAGCACTGCCTTCAATTGTGTAAGATTTCTAGAATATTCCAGGTTTGCTATTTTTAGTGGAAAAAGTATTTGTAATAGAAAGTTAAATAATAAATTGTTTTCATTTTATGAAACTGATATTACAAGTCTGAGACAGTTACAGTATCCATATTATTGAGCACCCTGATTCCCTCCCACTTGCTGACTGACTCTAAGTTTCAGCAATATTTAAGTCTTGCTCAGGCTGGCATTTTTTTAATATATTATTCTTCAAGGGAAGTGCCTTATGCACAGTAACATAAACAGAGTGTAGTTAATTTGGTTTTAAATGGAGGCCTGTATTTTTCACTATTAAAAGATGTGTGACAAATAGACACAAAATAGATAATCACGTTATACCAGTTGTAATAGGGGAAGGCTGTGAAAATCCACTTCATCTTTGAGTGTTCAGAAGTTCTCAGAGCTGTTTCATCTCAGAGTATCTGCAGTACTCTGGGAAGTAGCCAGGTCAGCATGACAAATAAACTGTAAGTCCCAGTAGTATTTCTTCTACCACTGATATAGAACTATAATCCCATAACAGTGTTGATCACTCAGTTAATCCAACATGATGGAATCCTAAAAATATAGAATCTTGAACCCTTTGAATCAAACTTCTGACATTTCTCAAAATGTGTTCCTTAAACTCAGAAATGCCAGTAAGAATTAGTTGGTGCGGTTGGTTCATGGCCAGTAAATTGAGGAAACTCTGGGTTAAGCAGGTTTAAAATGCTACCGTGTTACGTTTCCAAGGTATTGTTAAATACACTGTTTCCCAAATTAGCTAGGAAACCACGATATGTGCAGGACTGTATGAAACATTTCATGAAACTGGTGTTCCATGGAACACACGTTGAAAACTATTGACCATGTCCATCCAGTAGTTCCAACTAGAAGTCCCTGGATGTAGTATAATAGGCCTGCAGGTTATATTGTGCCTTAAAAAAAAAAAAAATCTAGTTGAAATATATCCCTGCAATTACACTTACGGGCTAACTTTTTTGTCCGTAATTTTGTCATTGAAGTAATGATAGTTGTTTCATATTCTTAGATGCTCTGAAAACTTGATGACATTTTTAGGAATTTCAGAGGCATAGGCAGATTAATCTCTGTTTGCAAAGCCACATCTAAAAAGCTCATAGTAACTGAACGAAAATTTTTTCCTCAGTGAAAAAATTGGAAATCCTTATAGGAATTACAGATTGTCCTAGTACTCAATCACATATTTGTTTAATTTATTCCACAGTAATCTACAGGGAGCTTATTCTTGGCCAGGCTTTGTGTTGGTTGATATTTTTGTGCATTATGAATTTTATTTTTATTTTGTTCATATTACTATGGTGGTAACTTACTAGGTAATTGCTTAAATGTACAACAGAATCCTGGCGGCCTGAGAAAATTTAATGCTGCTTATATCATTGAAGGCTCCTTGGGTGGAAAAAGTTTTAAAGCCACTAATTTAAACCACCCTCTGGATATTTTAAGTAAACTAAGGCTCCATGAAGTTAAAACGCTGATAGTTTCACACCTAGATCGTGCAGAGCCAGGGGATAGATCTCAGATACTTTTACTCTGCTGATCTTTCTCCCTCACCTGGCAGCTGTTACCATACATCATAAGTGAAATGAAGACTCCCAAATAGGGAAAAGGATAAAAATATACAAGGCAAACTTTTGAAGACTTAGAATTCATTTCTAAAGTTTCTTATGTATAATAGTATCTCTACCTGTTGTCAATTTAAATTACTTGGTAATAACTACGGTTTTGCATTTCTGTTCAGAATCTAGAACAGTTGGGGAGTGGAAGAGTTTCAAGTGCTGGTAATGTGGTTATAGAACATCTTCAAATCTCTATCAGGTTAAAGTTTTGCTAACAGTGATCTCAGAAATCCTGGAAGCCAACCTTGAGGAGAAAGGGTGTGTTTTGTCCACATCGTAACAATAGGTATTCAGAGCAGCCCTTGTCTACCTGGAATATACATAGAAAGTATTAATATTTCTATACCTGATCTCCTAAAAACTGAAAGCCATTTATCATTGTGTGATTGAGGGCTTGCTCTCATCTAAGTCCTCAGCAGTTCAAACGTTGTTAACATGTGCTAGATCAAAATAATGATACTATTCCTTCTGGGTTTTCTGCTTACTACCCTACTATCTGACTTAGCCTTATGATTTTAATGACCTGCTTCAGTTATGATCTAATAGTTATGGAAGGAAGAAGAATGCATCTGCCTCATTCATCTTATCACTATCAACCTGTTTTATCTCCCTTATTTCACAGATGAAGAAATGAAATCCAAAGGTCTCATCTCAAATTAGTGACAGGGTCAAGAGTTGATAAGCCAGCTCTGATGCTCTTTCCTGTTGGCTAATCTAGTTCTAGGAATTCTCAGGAAAATATGAGATTAGCTAGATTATTAGTATAGAAATATATGAAAGCAGGATTAACAGTGGCAAAATAATGACATTTAATTTCCTACTTTATATTTTCCCTGTGACATCATCTGAGAAAGATGGCCTTTGGAAACTGAACATTGATAAGAACAGCAATTAAAAATGCATCATGTGTGTTTATGCATTAGAAAAAAATGCTTTGGGTTTTTTGAATTACTTGAATCCTAGATTAAATTTGTTTTCTTCATGGGAAATTCACTCCCTATTGCTGCATATTTCTAGTTGTAATTTGAGGGTTTCAAGTTTAATTTTTCCTTCTTCCAAACCTTTAGAAGGAGGAGGCACCATGCACTGACTTTCAAATGCTGTTTCTGCTTTAGCTGTGTTATTGTAAATGTTTAAATATTTTACCTGCCGTCAGGGTAAAGTCCTTTTGTTCTAACTTTTCCTCTTCGTTTTCTGTTTTCTAGATTCGCGGCCCTTCCACACCACCAGTGCTAATCTGACTGAGAGGTACTGTACATTGCTTCTGTTACTCCTTTTCCTGACATAAAATCAAGGAAATTTAAAATCCCTTATGGCATTTGATTAAGTAAAATCAGTAGATTGAGCTCATAAGTGAAATCACCAAATCCTAGCCACTAGACCACCAGGGAGTCAAATTTGAGCTCATTTGGGTTCTTTCTTTGGTTAGTGATAAATTTAGAATAATAATTAGAAGTGGTTTTCTAATGAAGGCTATATCTTTTGAAATCAATATCTTCAGTAGTTTTCTACTTTTAGTCTTTACACTGTCCTCATGGTAAAGATAATTGTTTGCATTTATTAATGTGATAATTACCATATATTAAAGTCAAACATAATTTATATTTGACTTTGAGAATTTATACATGCTTTGCTTGTGGGGATTTTTAATTTCTAAGTCTAACAACATTTTCTTTCATAATTAGCATATATACATATATGTAAAAGTTCATGTGTTGCTGCTACCAAGTAAATGAATTGGTTCTTTATTTGACAGCAGGCAAAAGATTTCTATTTCGACTCATTGTTTATTTTTATATTTCTCTTTTAATGCATATGAGATTAAATACTCTAAGCATGATTGGGGTTCAAATTGTTGCTCTGCAATTTTTTTTTAAGTTGCCCTCCTTTTTACAAAGGCATCAGTTCTGACTCAGTGATTCAGAACCCTCACAATGAGTGCTGCTCTTTGCGCTGCTTTCACATCTAATTCATTCTTGCTCCTTTCTAGAACAGTGGTTTTCATACCCTTTCCCCTTTGTCTTATAAGCAGGCTGCTTTGTTTTGTAACCAACACTTAGGTATAACTGGACTTTAACTGTTGCAGAGCAGCCCTCAGGCTCTATCTACCTGCCCTCTCACAGAGGCCCTGACAGCAAACACTGCTGTTCTCTGGGAAAGTTCTAAAATAACTGTTCTAGAACACCTAAGCAAACTAGTATAAATGGATTCTTTTTCTGTATAATTGATTATTTACTCAAGTGCCAGCATTCTTTAAGGAAATTAACCATTGCAAATTTCCTAAGTTCAAAATATGTCCATCTTGGGTGGACTTAGATTTTGTGTAGGCTTCCTGAACAAATAGATCAGTAATCTGCATCTGTGTAAAACTCCTAAAATGGATCTTTCTACACTCTGCCTCAGTTCTGCCTGTCGTTCAATATACTCCCCTGTGCATAGCTGCATGGAACAGTCCACAGTCTTGATTGTTGGTTGTGCCAAAGGTTAGAAAAGATGTGTAACCTCTACTATTAAGGAACTTGGATATGCAATCAGTCATAAGATTCCTTGTTTGCAACCCCTGTTAACAAGTACCCTGTCCTTCCATTATGTATATGAATTTCCTTTCAAGCACCTGTTTGTTACAAAGAAGTTTGTAGATTGAGTTTCAGATTAAGAAATTTCTGATAAAGTAATTAATGAATAATTGACAGGCTCTTTTTAATGTCAGATCACTGAAAATCCATAATTAAAACATAAATGATGTATAAAAGAAAACTTAGCCTGGTTTTGACAACAGAACATGGGCATTGTGGTGTACTCTGTTCTTAGATATTATTGTATAAAACCATTCATCAGCCTCTGTCCACCCTTTATTCTGCTGGCCACTTTTGTAGTTCTATAAAAAAATCTGTCTTCTTGTTTTTACTTAGTATAACAGAAGAGAACTTCAATTTCCTGCCACAAAGCCCCTCCAAGAAAGATTTTGAAGGGAAGAGTGGAACAAAAGTTAGTCGTACGTTCAGCTACATCAAGAATAAAATGTCCAGCAGTAAGAAGAGCAAAGTAAGTATCTCTGTGGGCATTCCTGTGTGACCACCTCAGTTGGTCGTCAGCTGGATTGTGTCACAGCCTGCACATCCCCAAACTAATTAAATGATAGGAATATAAATGGAAATAAAGTCAGGGTTACTCTCTGAAATAGCCTGATATTTGGAGGAAAATAACAATAGGAAAACAGCAACAAGAGGTACTGCCACGTACTAAGTTTTTACTATATGCTAAAAACTTTCCGTGTATTATCTCATGTAATCCTTTCAATAACCCTGTAAGGTAGGTATTATCTTCCTTTTCTAGGAGTGAGGTAACTTATCTGAGGGTGAGCTCGTAATGTGAAGAAGAGATTGATTCAAGCCCAGATCTCTTTGGTTTCAAATCCTACACTCTCAACCACAATGCTTAAATCAGTGAATCAGATTTAAAATGCAACAGAAGGATATTCTGCCAAGATCAGGAGATTAAATCTCCTGTAATAACCCCACGTAGAACTACTTTTAATGTTTTGGTTTACATATTTCTAATTTTTTTCCAATGTATTTTTTTAAAAACAGAAAAGAAGTTAACTTTCTTTTATCAATTCCATTTCAATTCCATGGGGAAAAACTTTTCTGCCTCCTGCTTGCCCACACCTCGTTCACCTACCCACACACCTTCCAACAAAATAAAGAACTAAGTAGATAAAAATGTGAAATCCATTAAGGAGCTCTTCCAGGGAATCACTTTACATATATGTGTGTATGTATTTGTGGGTGCATATGTAGTATACACATGTATGTACAAATACATTCATACCCACTGAAAAGTAAGGGAATAAACATTAAACTCAAGAGAATTATCAAGAATAGTGTCATAAAAGTGCACCCTCTTCTCCCTTACAAAACAGTGTACCAAGCCTCTCAAGTCCTCAGCTAAGTGGGCTGGTGGAAATACAAATTTTACCATGTTTGTAAAAGTAAGATATCTTTCTTTGAGCAAATACTAAGTTTGATCATCATTCAGAGGAATATTTCCACAAAACCTGCCACCAGAATTGTGTTTTCTCTTCATTTCTCAGTGCAGAATGGAGAGGAAG